GCCTAAGCTGTCCGAAACTCGTCAGATATCATTGGGTAACAGGTGGAAGTACCGTTAACAGCAAAGTTAAATCCTAAGCTGTCCGAAACTCGTCAGATATCATTGGGTGACGGGTGGAAATACCGTTAACAGCAAAGTTAAATCCTAAGCTGTCCGAAACTCGTCAGATATCATTGGGTGACGGGTGGAAATACCGTTAACAGCAAAGTTAAATCCTAAGCTGTCCGAAACTCGTCAGATATCATTGGGTGACGGGTGGAAATACCGTTAACAGCAAAGTTAAATCCTAAGCTGTCCGAAACTCGTCAGATATCATTGGGTGACGGGTGGAAATACCGTTAACAGCAAAGTTACCTACTAGATGATTCAATGCAAACTAATTATTTTAGTTCTTTGGAGTATCTTTGACGGTGGAGTGCAATTGTGTTCAGGAAGGAGAAGCACATGAGAACGAGATTATGGGTAGTTGAGTCCACCTCGCAACGAAAATGTTTGCGGGAAGTATTTTTCTTACGTTGCTGCATACAAAGAATGTAGTCCCATTCTTTGCTGTAGTGATGACTAATATAAATGCAATGAAACGGTAAGGGTAGGCCTACTTACACCAATGCAGAGTTGTAAACAAGTTTGTGGGTGTTCAGCCACGGGAATCCACTTCCGTCTTGACTTGATCCATTTTTAGAACTTTCTAGTTGTTTGGTAGAAGATTCAAGTCATCATTTTGAATAACATCATTGTAAAAAAAAGGTAGACCAGCCTCCCCTCTTCCCAGCTTCTCCACTTATGTGTACTGATTCAGCTGTTATGTCAGACTGTTCTCGTTAACGCTTTTAGCTTACGTTTGAGCATAAGTTCTTAATTATTAGTCATTTTATTATCAATGCTGGGGCTTTAGCTCTTCAACATATAAAAAGAGAAAGGTTCATTTAATAGTAAATGTTGACTTGTTTTTTCCTATTTTTTTAATATTTAGATAGTGATGAGAAAAACTGCATAGAGTTTTTGTTGTTGTTGTTGATGCAGAACCAGGCAAGCAAATAACTGAAAATAATCACAAAATCATTTAAACTTCATGAGCCGAAAGCGCATAACCCGAATGATTTCGATAGGTTGATCCTTTTCCATAACAGTCGAATATTCTGTATGAAATATAGACTCTAAATGACGACATTACAGACCAATTTATTACTTCTGCCCTAATTTTCAACTTTCTGGGGGTCAATTAAATCTCGCTCCTTCTATGTATGGAACAATGATTAAAAGATATCTTTTATCGAATGCTACCAAATATATTCTTTATTAAAAGAACTTTATTATATGCCGAAAAAGATAGTCGTTATTGAATGTTACTAATAATATATTTTATCACATTCTCTAGCAAGTTCCGTGAGACATATCTTCCGTAGCATAACATTGAGTTAGACTTAAAGATATTCATCCAAAAACCTATCAAAACAATTTTACGTCGAAATTTTTCAGCTCTTATATTTGAGAGTGAATTTCCTTGTGGCTTATCCTTCTTTATATATATATATAATTATTTTCAAGTAGTTTATGTGACAAATCTCAAAGCTTAAGTACTTTTTAGTATTTTATATCTTTAATCACATTCTGTTATACCAAAAACTTTATTTTAAGCAGCTATTTATCTTATATCGTTCAAGAACAGTTTGGTCTTTCATATTTCAAACGCTTCATTATTATCATGCCCAATTTATAAGATTTAACAATTATAAATATGTATTTTTGTATTTGCATTTTTTTTCCTACCAAGATTTTGTTAGAGCAGTAAAACTATTGATAATTATTCGTAATTCTAACTGTCCGCCTGATGATAAAAAAGTTTAGGATTAATAACCAGTCATCCAAAATCTTTAAAGAAAAAGTTTAACTCATAAACTGAAAATACAGACTACAGAAATGCCAAACATAGAAGCTACCCAATGGCTCAGCGGTAAGACTGTGGACTTATACCGCTCAAAATTGGGTTTCGATACCTTTAGTGAGCTCAGCCCAGATATCCCATTATGTAGTTTTGTGACTCACTAGAAACACAGGAAATGAAACATGTCGTATGTTAACTTAGTCAAACAATTTTTCTTCTACATTGGTCTGCCATGATAGTTAACACAAACAATATCTTTAAAAAGTAAATGATATAAGAATACCTCAACCTAGAGCTTCAAATATATCAGTATTTTATTTTTGTCTTTTCGTTTAGTGTGTTTCAATGATCTAAATTCTTAAAAGTAAACACATAGGAGGTCATTGCATGTAATGACGTGTCAACAGTAGAGGAAACAAGTACAAGAACTGTTTTGAATTAATCGATAAATCAGCCGTAGGCTATGTAATCTGAAATAGGTCTCATGCAATTAGACTTTTAGGTTAAATATAAAGATTTCGTTTAGAAGAATTATTTAAGCAAAACTTAGCCATATATCCTCAGAAAACGCTATTTATTGCATTTCCAGTGACATAAAGTGTTTCTCTGTGAATTATGTATTAACATTAACTTAAAGAATAGCTAAAATGTTACAGTCAACAACGAAGAACCAAAATACTGGTATGCAATTTTAGAACTTCACCAAAATGTATAAATTACCTTCATACGCAATACGAATTTGGCAAACATATAGATTTTGTTTTATTCGTTATTTTTTCAGTACTGTCACAATAAGTTTTCCTCGGTTACTTTTGCATAGTATGTTTTTAAAGCTCCTTTCAGTATCTGTACATGGCTTATTGCCATACGCTGAACTGATATATAACCCACATTTTTGCTAAGCCAAACACGCTGATGGACATATTGCTAGTATGACGTACACTCATAACTTTTTAATAACGATTCAAGTTCTTAATTAATTTCAAACGTTTGTCAAATGTATCAACTGTTTATCATTGAAATAATATTTTACCAATAAACATTTTCCTTGAATTCCTATTGCGGTTTCGCGTACATATTAAATTATAATAATTTTCTTAATGTAAGAAACAAACACGAAAAATGAATTTCGTTTATGTTCGACTATTTATATTGGCTGCTAAAACTTGGAATAAAAATATGACCCCTTCTAGTTATTCTATGGTAGACGAAAAGTACTACCATGATGTAACCTGATGCTCGTTTGTTTGCGTTGAGTATTAACATTTTTGTTTCAGAGATAACTCAAAAACCATTTACAGGACCAATTTTCACAAGTCGAGTTGCAGACATTTAGGTATACCATGAAAAGCTAAAACTAAGAAATTTCATATATTTTTCAAATTATTTGCATCCTGAGTTTTACATGCACATATATCCTATTAAAGCTAACATACATAACTTAGAACATTTTCTTGCCTTCTGTCAAAAAAGTCCTCAGATAAAGAATTTCCGAAATCAACGAAGCTATAAGTAAGTTTTTATACAGAAAAGTCATACACAGTTGTTAATATTTACGTAAACTCTGATACCAAATAGTGTAAAAGAGAGTCTGTAATGTCATAGCCATTTGGTTCTTTGACAGATTGTAAGTAAGTTGAAATTATACTTAAACTGAACTGCATACAAAGTGAAAATAAAGTTTTATTGCAAATATTTGTGAATGTCATGTCGTTATTAAGTTATACGATAGTTCAATTTGCACAAACAGCCGAAATGGAAGGTAGAACTATTATTGAAACAAATTCAGATTGCTAATTATTAAGTTCCAAGCCAATTTAATCTTCGTAATTTTCTTGTTGAAGTATCGAGACTGCCAGATGTTTTGATAATGTCGATAAACGGGATCTGCTGGAAAAAAAAAATGTGTAAAATATCCGGAATCGAATTTTCAATAACTCTCAACATAAAGATTGTTATTTTCATATAGCAATCAGTTCTGGTCATCAATCCAAATTCTGTTATCACATATTGAGTTGTCTTCTAAATATAAATGATGGAGAAATTAATGTAATACTTCAAACTCTAATGAAGACTAATTAGAGAGACAGAGGTGTGCACGTCTACAAGAGATCTGCTTCTTTTAGATTTGACAATCTTGTTATAACTGGTTTTGTAAAGTAATCGATCACTACAGTTTCAGAAAGTCGAAGTATATAAACAGTTTATTGGTAAAACGCATTTGGAATTTTATGAAAATAAAAATGTAGTTTGGAGAGATTCATTATGCCTCCAGTGACTTGTGTAAATAGTCTGAAATATATTTTTTTTCAATTGAAAATAATCTCGGAAATTATAATAACACATACTAGAAAATTCGTCAAGCGTTTTGAATTTACTAAAAGTTCGTTTTGACTTCATCTGAACTGACAGAGAAAAAACTAGAGGGCTCATACCCTCTCGTTTATCACAATATAAATACAAAACAAGAATACAGAAACGAGTTTCGGTTAACAACTCAAAATTTTGGCTTTTCTTATGCTGAAAGTTCACGCATAACTGATTAACTATCAACAACAAAATTATTATTAACAGCCTGCCTTATCGCTTTGGCTTGCTACTGTCTCAAATTCCTATCCACTGTCATATAGAACATGTGGAGAACACTTGTATATATGAAAAGGATAAAAATAGCCAGGTCAAACGAGTCTTCGGCATAGGGCAGAGGTTTTGTTTCACGAACTGGTCACGTGCCGATCCTAAAAAGGTTCTCTAGTCCCGCTCCTGTTTAAAAACGTTGACGCAAAACGTATCCCAACAGCCTTTGCAACTTCATCACCAGAAAATTGGGAATTATAGATAGTTGAGGTCCACTTAGTCCTCTCTCATCTGTGGTACAAGAACTACTAGAGACTACTACGCACTACCTTTCATCTATAAACAACATGGCCGCAGTAAGAAAATTCTTCTTTTTTTTTCAGAATTTTCGCTGTCCAGATTACTTATCATTATATATTTATTAGTAATCTATTTTTCTAAATTTTACAGGCTGAAGATCTTAGTAAAGAACAAATTCAAAGTAAGTAAAGATTTGCTATTCGCTAAATATTTTCCGCATTTCCTAAGATCTCAAATAATTATCAGCAAATTCTTCAATGCCATTCTCTCTTTCAATACTGCACAGACTTATATATTATGTCATACTTATGTATGTGAATATGTGTATATAAATACATGTATATATATGAATATATATATATATATATATGAATCAATCAGTATTTCTAGTGCTATACATACATTAATTGTAAATAGGCGATCAAGTCAGTACTATATAACAATAATGAAATTAATACAAATATATGTATATAAAGCTTCAGGATTGCTCTTCTTTTTAATATGGATACCGTTCAATTCGATTTTTGGATACAAGAGTATAAAAATATAAAAGATGAGTAACAAAAAAAGATGCTACGTATTTAAATATAATTGCAAAGTTTAGTGGAGAAACAATAGATGCACGTTTAAGATGACGAACCCCGTGCTTATTTATTGGTGAATTTAAGCGTTCAATCTGAAATATTGCACACTATGAAGTTACAATTGCTAACTGCTTCTCGCATTTTGTGTTGGCTTCTTCGTGTTTCAGATCAATTTACATCAATTAGCTTTTATTGTCAGTAGAATTACTGCCTTGAAATGTGTATTTGTGCAAGAGCAATATAAGAAGATATGTGAATCTTGAAAAATTCCAGAGCGAAAACCGAACACCCAGACCAATTACTTGCTTTTATGGCAAGATGCCAGTTTACTGTAGTTTGAAAAAATATATTGAAAACCATAACAACTGTTCATTACTCATTAGGTAAAGCATAAATCCTCCTAACAAGCTCTAGGCAACATTTCATGTGACGTTGAGAGGGTATACAATATACATGTATCTTATAGAGGGTATACAATATAGCTCATATATAAGAAACAGCTGTTTTACATAACTTGTCTGAGGTGTCGTTTATATCTCAGCAGTATATTTTGTTTAGCTTGATCTACAGAATTTAAAATTGATTATGTAAGGAATGTTATTGCATTCAAACTATGCTGACGAGAGCAAAGTTTCCCAAAATTAAAGAGAGAATTTGATTTGCAAACAAAAGAAGACATCCCGTTTAAATATAAAATATTTTCTTTGTTAAGTAATGCATACATAAACACAAAGTTTCAACGGTTTAAACCTTGCATTTTGTAATTTGTTAAATTTGTTCAGTCGTTTTTAAACGGAAAATGTTTTAGGTTAAATGAATTAGTGAGCTACTAAGCGCGTGAATATTTACGATTGAGACATTTAAAATATCGTAAAATATATATGTACTACACAGCTAGATATATATATATAAATTGATTGATTAAAAAACAGAGATACTTCTTCAAAAACAACAGATGTCAGACAATAAAATACATACAGATAAAACATATACTGGAGAAACAATTAGAAACAGTGCAGTAAAGCAAACAGTGAGGAAGTAATAATAAGTGTAAC